AGGAAGGTTTAGAAAGAAAAGGATTCAAAGTTAAAAATCAGAACAAAAAAGACAAGTAGAGAGTAATTAAGGAGAGGAGGGCCAAAGGTCAAGAAATGAAGCTGAAGAGTACAAAGGCCAAAGACAAGTTTGGTTTTTAATACCAAACTGAGGAATTTAAATTTTTATCCTGAGGGCAATGAGACACTATTAAAGGATATTCAGCATTCCATGATGAGTTTGTGTATTTTAGAAAGATTTCCGGGTTATAAGATGAAGAATGGATTAGAGGAGGACAAAACAAGAAATCAATTAAGAAGCTATTGTAGTAACTCAGTGAGAGGTGGTAGTGGCTAAACCAAGGTCTGGCAACAAAGGCAGAAGGAAATAAAAGAACCTCTCACTTTTGAGGAGGAAGGGACAATACAATAAAAACTAATAAATTCATTGAACAAAGGAACTTGAAGGAGTAAAGGATACCTGACTAGACAAGGACGTCATTACGGAGTTACAGAACATGAGAAACAGACTATGAAGCAAAAAGGGATGCAGATTCAGTGTCTGTGGGACATATCCAGGTTGGGAATGTTTGGAAGGCAGTTGAAAGTAACCTGAAGCTGAGAAGAGACACTGGTGATAGAGAAACAAATTTAGGAATCAATACTAATACAGATGATAACAATAACACCTAAGTTTCATCAAGTTCTCATTATGTGCCAGGCAGGCTCTGTATCAAGCACCTTTCATACTTAATTAATGCTCTCAAGCACCACGCCATTCCACCTCCAAACAAACCTAACAGCCACAATTTATTGAGCTATTACTAAATTCAGAAGTTGTGAAATATAATTTTTTTGTTACTCTTCACAACAGCCCTGAATTAGATGATGCACCTTCCACACACATCCAACACACACATTGTTTTAATGCAGAATCATACCACATACATCATCCTTACTTTTCCATGTAAAAGCCCAAAAGAACTCCTATGGTCACAACTAGAAAATCATCTTGCCCAAGAATGAGAAGAGAAAGAAGCCCCTGATTACTCTTATTTCAACTGAGTGAACGCCAAATAAAAATCTACCCACTCTTCTCCCGACTTTGCCAAGGCCTTCAGTGAAAGCAAATTATTTACAAAAATAAATTTATAAAGGTACAGCATCTGCTGATGATAATCTCTGGAGAAAAGTAAGAAGCAAACCTACTGCATTCATGAAATCATCATTCTTGAAGAGTATTCTCAGCAAGTGGCCCAGCATACATTCTGGATCAGCTCGACCTACCAAAAGAAGAGGGGAGGAACAAAGGAATGAGTAAGTCATCCCAGTCAAGTAACTTAGATCTCTGGAATGGCACCTGAGTTGTTATAAGTACTAATAAATTGCTGAAAAAGTGAAGAAACACAAGATTCCTATTCTGAATTAGATTCCATAAGAAATATTCTATAAATTTAAAAGTGACAATATACAAAAACCTGAGACATTGCTCTAACCTTCCCATTTCCCAGTATACTGCCTACATGACAACACTGAAATAAAAATTGAATAATGGATCCATACCAGTATCACACCAAGGGTATTTAAGATTTACAAAAGAATCTTAAAGGCGACTAAGAGAGAGGAAAAAAAAACAAAACAAAACATGACTCCACAGCCACAGAAAGGTAGGAAGCATATTTCTTTTAAGGGAAGACAGGCTCCAAATTAATCTCTCCTTCAATTATTATAATAACAGCAGCAGCAATACATCCTCAAACCTGTAAGAACATCCAAGGTAGGAGTAAAGGAAGTGAATCCTACTAAGTAATCATCAACCCTAAAGAGAAAGTAACCTTGACCATCTTAACTCCCTACCTGTTAGGGAAAGAAAGGTGGCAAAGGGGCCAGGGTGTTGCTACTCAATGCACAGGCTAAAAGTAAATGAATGAGCGAATGACTGAAAGAATTATTGGTTAATTTTGAAAGCAGATACCTTCTATTTCATTTCCTTTGGGAGCACACAAATTTACAAAAGGATACATATAAAATGAAGAAAAGATGCGAGCTGCTGATATTGTGTTTTGTTTTGGGGTTTTGTTTAATTTGATTCAGTTTGGTTTGGTACTGGGGAATGAACCCAGAGATGTTCTACCACTGAGCTATATCCCCAGTCCTTTTGATTTTTTGAGACAGGACATTGCTGAATTGCTAAGCTAGCCAGGAACTTAAAATCCTCCTGCCTCAGCCTCCAGAGTTGCCGGAATTATGGTGTACTGCAGCCTGGTATGAAGTTTTGACTAACCTATAATCACTATCTCAAAATAATTCACAGTTACAAGAATGGAATCATAGGGCTGGGGGTTGTGGCTCAGTGGTAGAGCGCTTGCTTAGCACGTCAGAGACATATGAGGCACTGGGTTCGATCCTCAGCACCACACAAATAAATAAAGGTACTCTACACAGATCTTCAACTAAAAAAATTTTTTTTAAAAAAAAGAATGGAATCATAAAAACAAATGAGGACTTTACCTAATTTTCACTGTTTATAAAGTTGTGAAACCAAAATCCTTATTTTTATTTTTTTAAAAATTATGCCAATGTCAAATATTGTTTAAGAGGTAGAGAGAAAAAATTGAATCTTTTACTTTTTTCTCCTTTCTTCCTCATTACTACTTCATCCTTCCCAAAGTAATGACATTATGCATGGTCATCTCTTTCTTTTGATAACCCCATGTATTAACTTAATTTCTGATTTCACATTCACATTGGTATTTCCTTCATGCTCTATTGCCTTACTGAAGATGTGGGTTAACTGAATATTCCAGAACTGTGCAGGAAAGTCTAGGACAAAAGTAGCATATAACATCACATAAACAATTAAATACTCAATTTGAAATGCCTAGATTACTAATGTTTGAGAACAAAAGCATAAGAAACAGAAATAAATCCTGAAACATTCAGATGGAAACACAATATTCTTATTTTTATGGCTCCTATTTATTCATGCTCTCTCTATATACACAAAATTTCAGACCCTCTCCACAAAGGACTACTTCTAACTAGAGTATATATGCAGTTTGAGACCATTCATGACTTAAGCTTTGCCCACTCGTAATCTACCTTTGAAAAAAAGTAAAATGGCAAAAATCTCAAGTCCCATATAATCCTGTATTTTAGCAAACTCCATGCCAAAGCAGGCTTGTTTCAGCATGATTCTAAATTAGCCTCCACCAAAAATAAATAAATAAATGGTTTGATACAAGAGGCATACTTTAGCTTTCAAGACTTACTAAAGCAGACATCTAGATGTTTACTTATAGTGCTGGGGCATTTAGCTCAGCAACAGAGCACTTGCCTAGCATATCTACTGCCCTAGATTCAATTTCCAACACCACCGGGAAAAAAAAAAAGAACAAGAGAGACACAGACATAATAGACTGCTGTTTATTTGGTTCCAAATACTAACATTCTAAGTAAAAGCAAAGCATGAATACATTTTCAACTGTTATTTCCCTACAAGTATGATAATTATCATTAGGAAGATGAAGGCATAGAGTAAAACTCTTTTCTGGTTTAATAAATTAATAAATAAATAAATCGGGAGCTGGGAGGTTATGGCTCAGTAGTAGAGTGCTTGCCTAGCATGTGTGAAGCACTAGTTTGATCCTCAGCAACATAAAAATAAATTAAAAAAAAAGAAAATTGTGTCCATTTACAACTAAAAAAAAAAAAATTTAAATAAGTAAATCAGAAGGGGAAATCTTTTTCTCAAGTCTTTGTAAGTACACCAAGTTAACTAAGGTATACCTAATTTAGCTCCCTAAGTTAATTATGTTCTATTTGACCTATAAATATCACAAATATTTCCATTTTCCAGGTATTTACTTTTCCTCATTGCCCTCACCTTGAGAAATATTGTAATAAATAAAAGGTCTTAAAACTTACCACAGAAAATGCTATTTCTTTTTTTTTAATATTTTATTTTTTTAGTTATAGTTGAACACAATACCTTTATTTTGTTTATTTTTATGTGGTGTTGAGGATCAAGCCCAGGGCCTCATGCGTGCCAGGCAAGCACTCTACCGCTAAGCCACAACCCTAGCCCCAAGAAAATGCTATTTCAATTGAAAAATATTATTAATAATTTTCTTTCGTAAGGAAAAAAGACCCAAGCTTAAGAAAACATCTTACCAGGATGTCGATCATCAAATGGGTCTGGATCTCCCTTACGATATTCTTCAGTTTCTTTTTCAATCAATTCAGACATCCTAGCACAAAGGGAAGAAAGGATCAACTCTAAACATACAATAAAATGTACCACCACTTACAACAATTCAATAATTGAGGTATAAAAGCAAAAAGTTAGAAAAACAGTATTTTTCTGATGAGCACATAAATCTAAACAATCATCTCATAAAACATTTCCCACTCCCATATTAATTCTTCCCTAAACACTCCCCACCTCAACAAAAAGAGAAAAAAAAAAAAAAAAGGAAAGAGAAAAGCACTACCATCACCTTGGAATCCAAAAACCTATGCACCATCACTAAAATCTTCCTGTTCTCCTCACCCTCCAACAATAACTCCCATTAGCTTTACCTACAAGATACCTCCTACTCCAATCAGTTCTCTAAATTTTGACCGCTCCTATCCTTATCCAGACCACCATCACTAACTAACTGTGCTTCCAACAATCCTTTTTACTGATCTTGCTTCCTAATTTCATGCTTGACCTGACACAATTCATTCTCTAACTTACAATGACTTAAACCTTGAATTAAGCCTCAAGTCCTACCTTGGCCTACAATTACCTGGCTTCTGCTGCTTCCTGATCACTCCTCCAGTTCTCTACATCTCTTTCACTGTTTCAGTCACATGACTTTCTGTGCTCTTCAAAAAGTCTAAATTCATTCCTACTTCAGAACCATTCTGTATGCTGCTACCTTCACCTATAAAGTGCTTCCCCCCCCACCTAAGCCTCCACTCCGCCAATGATTTCATTCACTCCAGATTAGTTAGGTTTTTTGTTGTTTTTTAAAATATTGTTTCCTGCATGGTTCGTCTCTTCAGTCATAGTCCACAAGACTCTTGAGAAGTTGTAGAAATATGCAGGCACAGACACAAAGGCCAGCTACATCTCCAACGTTATGGAAAGGAACTGTACATCATGGGGCAGAGTCCTATGCTCCCCTATACCACCTGGAGAGAGCCCAGGGAGACTCACCCTCTTGAGTATCCATGCTGGACAGATTAGTTTTGCCAGTTCTAGAATTAGCATAAATGGAATCACATATCCTTATTCTTTCACTAGCATGTTTTAAGAGTCATCCATATTGTTAGACATATCAAATTCCTTTTTATTTTGGTACTGGAGATTGAATCCAGGGGCACTCTGTGCTTTACCACTGAGCTGCACCCCTACTAGACCTTTTTACTTTGAGACAGGGTCTCACTAAGTTGCTGAAGCTGGCCTCTAACTTATAATCTTCCTGCCTTAGCCTCCTGAGTCACTGGGATTACAGCCCCCCCCCCCCCCCCCCCCCCCCCCCCCCCCCCCCCCCCCCCCCC